TCAAGTTAGAAAATTTAGTCTTCCCTGAAAGTTCTGAAATAAAAAACTAAAACACGTTTTCCAAGTTGTGTCTGTTACTTTTCTATTTCGCTATTTTTTTTATGATGTCAAATATATTTAGAAAATACAGCAATTCGGGCTGGAGAAACGGCTTAGCGGTTAAGAGCACTGACTGCTCTTACAGAGGAACGGGTTTGATTCCCACCACCCACATGGCAGCCAACAACTGTTCATAACGCCAGTTCCAGGGGATATGACAGCCTCTTCTGACTTCTGCAGGCATTGCATGACGCAGGTGTACTAACACACATATAGGCAATATACTCCTACACACAATAAAAATAAAAAATATTTTTTTAAAAAAGAAAATACAGCAATTCATCTAAAATTAGGTGAAGGCAACATTTTTCTTTACCCAGTATACTTAGGCTCTCAGTCTGAAAAACCTTCTGAAGTGGAGGGAAGTAAATAACAAGTAACTGTCCCATGATGGATCCAAGAACTGCATAGCAAAACATCTTATTACTGCAGAGTCCAATCTCAAATACAGACTTGGTCTGTTGACAAAGCAGAGAGTTCTAATTATTCCTCCCGAATCATAGAAATAACTTCATTATATCTGATTTCAATTTTGAATAATCAGTCTCACTGATATGAAATGCCCTAACTGTAATATTATTTTAGGATAATATATAGAGAGTAAGGATAAATTTTAAATCAACATCTATCTATCAAGAAAGTTTTCAAGTCCGGGTGTGGTAGCGCATGCCTGTAGTCCCAGCACTTAGGAGGCAGAAGCAGGCAGATCTCTGTGAATTCAAGGCCAGCCTGGTCTACATAATGAGTTCCAGGCCAGCTGGGGCTACAGGGAGACCCTGTTTCAAAAAGACCAAAAAAAGAGAAAAAAAAAGTTTCCAGGGGGCAGAAACACTAAAAGTCAGAAGCAGTGGACACTGAAATGAAACAGTATTTGCTGAACATGACAGCAGATGGTCCTATATCCATGCACATACAGACTCAGTGACTTTAAAAAACAGAGTACATGAAGATGGAGGTTGGGATGGGGAGTTACTGGGGGGGGGTAATATGGGGTAGATTTGATCAAAATGCATTATATGCATGAATGAAATTCACAAACAAAAAGTTTTAATTTTAAAAAGGGGGTTTATAGGCTAGAAAGATGGCTCAATGGTGACCAGAATTTGAATCCCTGGCACCCATGTAAAAAGCTAAGTGTGGTAGTACCATCTGTAATCCCAGAACTGGAAGGCGGAGACACAAGGATCTCAGGGGCTCACTGGGTAACCAACCTAACCAATCCACAAGCACCAGGTTCAGTGAGAGACTCATCTCAAAAAATGAGAATCGATAAAAGAAAACATCCAACACCAACCTCTGGCCTCCAGAGTGTACTCACAGGCAGACAATGGGCACATGCACCCTCACAAATATGTGCTTACACACTCATAAGGCTTACTGAAGAAGCATGAGACTTTTATAAAAATGACTGCGTAAAAAAAAAAAAAACCAAAAACAAACTTACTTCAGTATCTCAAAGCACAACCAAAAATCCTTTTAACAAATGGACCTAATTGTGTGTCTTTCATATAAAAAAAAAACCCCTAAAAACAAACCAAAAAAAAGATCCACAAATATTACAGTTTCTTGAAAAAATTAGCTTAAACTAGTGATAATTTACTGTACTTAGAAAGTTCTAGTACAGCAAATCATAATGGAGATAACATATATATATATATATGGTTCATAAAGGACTTTAAAGGCTTAAAGATTTATGTGAACCAAAGAGAAACCAGAGTGCACAAAGCACTTTAAAATTGCAGTGAGTAGTCATGCATGAGATGGAACTAGGTTTCAGGGACATATGCTCTCCCAAAGTACCACGGGGAAAAACTCCTTATTTTTAACTAAAACGATGCAATCACATCTTAATGCACAATATAAAAAGGGAAAAAAACTAAAATTCCTAAACTTTGACACACTGACAGACATGATGAGGAACAAACTGTTTTTCTCATTATATAAAGCATTAACAATGCTTTCTTCTAAAGTGAGATGAATACCATCTTAACAGAACACGTGTGGTTTGTCCTACATCCAGATGATATCAAATCTGCCATCTATCCTATAGCTAGAGCTAATAATGGAAGAATGATCAGAAACAATCTAAGACTAAATGAGATTTCTGCCAACCAATAGCACACTGATAGATTCACGAGGCTGTAATCTGGTAACTATAAAACCATACAAAGTCTACTTCCTATTAGACAGTTTTCTCCTAAACTGAATCAATTAATATAGCTTCAGCATACCTGAGATCTAGAACTTAGCGCATTGAACATGTCGAAAAACACAAAGCATGTGAAGGTCATGGTTGTGTCTCTTGGTGTTATCACATTATCTCGCAGCTGCCAAAAAGAAAAGAACAGCATGACTTTTTTAGTGGCTGAATGAAAAGAACACTGCATGTTTTAAAATGAAACAGCTTTAGTCTAAGATTTGAAACATAAGCTATGTGAATTTTCTGAATTATCTAAATTTATTCAACTAGTGAACAAATATAGTTTACATGAAAGTAAAAAAAATCTCATTAATAGTTAATTAGACATTAAAATACTGGTACATTTTTTTAACTTTTTAAAAATTTTTTTATTATTTTTATTTTATGTGTATGCATGTATTGTCTGCACATAGGTAAGTACATCCATGTCGTGCAATGCCCACAGAGGTCAGAAGAGGCTGTCGGATCCCCTGGGACTGGAGTTAGGACAGTTGTTAGCTGCCATGTGGGTGCTGGGATTCGAACTCAGGTCTTCTGCAAGAACAACCAGTGTTCTTAACCGCTGAGCCATCGCTCCAGCCCCTAACTGGTACTAATTTTAAAAACACAGCCAAAAACGATTCAGATTTTCCAGATTCTCCCCAAAAATTCATGGATATTATACTTTTCTACATGTAAATGATTTTGTTATATATCAATGATTCTCCTAACCCATTAAAGCCTGAAATCAAACTCTTTTTTTTTTTTTTTTTTTTCTTTTGGTCTTTTTGGGACAGGGTTTCCCTGTAGCCCCAGCTGGTCTGGAACTCACTATGTAGACTAGGCTAGCGCCACCACGCCCGGCTTGAAATCAAACTCTTGAAATGCTTAACATATGTATTTTTCACTAAGAGGTCTCTTACTTGTCAACTATCTATGTAAGATACCAGAATAATTAAGAACTGAGGGTTGTTTTCTTTGGTTTGTTGTTTGTTGAGACTGGTCTCCCTGTAGCCCCAGCTAACCTGGAACTCACTATGTAAACCAGGCTGGCCTTGCTTCCCAAGTACTGGGATTAAAGTGCGCCACCATGCCCAACATAATTAAGAATTCTATTGTAAGAATGCCTGGCAACACGGCACTTAATCCAGTGACTATACCTCTCGCCAGAAGACAAACAAAGTCCCACAAACAATGATTATTGATGAAACAAGTATTTTAAGTATCAAATTTTTTGTCAAAATGCTGTCTTTCCAGTTTCGAGGAGGTTTGCGAATGACATCTTTATCCACTGGTTCTACTCCAAGGCTTAAAAGGAAACAGAAAAGCAAAGTACTTTAAAATGTTGTTTACACTTACTTTCACAACCTAGCTTCAATTATCCAGGAAACTAAATGCTTTCTTATGAGAATAAAATGCTGAATCATGAAGAAAACCCTGGTTGTGGTTACCTGTAAGTTACCCCGCTAGACATGTTGGCACATGTCTACAGTCCCAACTACTATGAGGAGATGGAGTGGAGAGAAAGAAGGGAGGAAGTGAATGAGGATGAGGTAGAGTGCTGACTTTCATTTTCTAAATTCCTATGCATTTGGCAAGGTTTGAGAAGAAACTGAAAGTTAACTTTCAAAAAACTGCCCAATTTCACTTACATATAAACTGATTTATTTCAATTCTGTGACCTACCAAGGAAATAATACATTTCATTCAAGGATATTTTGGTTAGGAGCATTTATTGCAATACTAGGACATGTATCATCCAACTACCACAGTACTATAAAATAAAATAAGACATTCAAATCCATTAACACTTACATTACCAAAGTCTCTAAAACTGACAACAGAATCTAGATATGAAGGGGAACTTAGAAGATTTCTCCATTACATCCAATTTTTAGAAATAATTTTTATCTTGAGGACAAGGACTGCAAGTGTTTCCTGATCTGTTCCCACCCCAAAAAGGCTGGCACCTCTAACAGCATAAAGGCTCAGATGCATACTGTGTAAATTAACATTCAAAAAGAATACCCCATATGCATACGTAACTCAATTTCTAACAAGCATGTTGCTAAATGGCTGCCCATGATCAAGTTGTAAAATGTCTTAATCATACCTGCCTTCTCTTTCAAGTTCATGCATGAAGGAACTCTTACCTCTGTGCTGGGGGTCCATCCATAATAATATTGATCCACAAAATCTGCATTGCATTGAGAGGATTAGGGAAGTTCATTAACGTAGCCAATGAGATTAAAGTTAATGCTGCTATACTCCTGTTGAAAAAGAGTCATTTAAAACTCAGCATAATAAATTTTACACATTTTACTAGCACTTAAAAGTCTCATGTTACTAGGGCTGGAGAGCTAGCTCAGTCAGAGAAGCATTCGCTGAGTAAGCATGAAGACCTGAGTTTAGATCTCCAGTACCCAGTGAAAAGCCAGGGGCAGCGGCACATGCCTGCAATCGCAGCAATGGGGAGGTAGAGACAGACTTGCCAAGTAGCCAATCTAACTGAACTAGTGAGTTCCAGGTACAGTGAGGCTCTGTCTCAAAACAAGAGTGAGGTTGGAGAGATGGCACAATCAAAGACTCAGGCTCAGAAATGAAAGCTAAAGTGGAGGGAATTGAGAAAGACACCCAACATCAACCTCTGGCTGCTACATGCACGTGCACACAAGTGTACACATACTTGAACACAGATGTGTGTATAAATACATACACATAAACACACAGCACACACACAAAAATGTTTTAAGAAAATCTTTTTGATTCAAGTGAACTATGCTTCCTTCACATCAGAATTTTAGTTAAAAAAAAAAAATCCAACAACAAAAAACAAAGCTAACACATTTAAAAAAAAAAAGACTACACTAGCCTTAAACTCTAAGGAACCTGTTCATTCTCCAAAATACTGGGATTACAGGCATGAGCCACCATGCCACCATGTCCAGTAAATTAAGAGTATTTTAGAGAGTTTCCAAATACTTAAGACAAAAGCAGCAAAATCAGAAAGGCCTCCCCAACCCAACATAGGATCTCCCTGGGTAGTGTAGGCCAGGTCTCTGGAGTCCTCCTCCCTCAGCCCTCTGGAGTGCTAGGATTATAGGAATGTGCCACTAAGGCCAGATGAGAGGAAGATTTTTTTAAGCCTAGAAAGCAACAGTTTCAAAAGCATTTAACTCTTTTTTAACTATAGAAAACTGTTCTACTTTTAGAAAAAGATACCAAGATGAATTTACTGAGATTTGACCCATCCCCCTCCTTAGATTTCAGAAGCAATTATATAACTGCCAAAGGTTTATACAGGCATCCTTCAGCATTCAGAGGGAACTGGTTGTCAAATTCCCTTCAAATGCTAAGTTCCCAGTCTCTTATATAAAATGGCATAGTACTACTTCTCAATCTTTTCCCTAAAATCAAGTACAAAAACAACAAAATATTTACATACTATTTATACATTTTCTCTTATCTACTTTAACTCATCATCTAATAATGAAAACACTGTATTAGTAGCTCTCACACAGTATTGTTTCAGGAATAAGGACAGAAAATGTCTGTTAAGTGTTTGGTCACATGCATCTTTCTTCTGAATATTCTGGAGCTACAGGTGAACCTCCACATGAAAAAACCTTTGGATACAAAGGCTTGACTGCATATTTTAGTGATGATAGAAACTATCACATTTAAAATCTATTTATCATACCATGTTTTTCAGAATTATAATGAATTTTTAAAGAAAACCACTTATATGCAGTATTCAATAATATAAGTCAGACATTTCTAGGCATCTGCTTAAGCTCTACTTTTCATATAATTTATTTAGAAGACCCAGGGATGAAAGCTCTTGCAAACTTACGTGCTCAGCTGAAATCTAACAAAATTTTTAATGTTATTATAAATCCCTTTGCCCTCTTCAATTGCAGACCTGAAGTTTAAAAAATAAAAATGAGAAAATATCACATAAAAATAAATCAGTATTAAAACATCGTGAGGCAGTTCCTGAAACTAAATTTCTAACTTAGTAGCACTTTAAGAATCGGTTCCTCACAAGATTAGAAAACATGGAAACATTTATTTTACGAAAAGAATTAAGTTCTAGCTAAACTATTTCATTAAACAATATTAAAATTCTTATTCTTACTCTTTAAAAAAAAAAATGGGGCTGAAGAAATGGCTCAGCAGTTAAGGAAACATACTGTACTTGCCGAAGACCTGAGTTTGGTCCCCAACACCCACTTTAGGCAGCTCACAATCACTAGTAACTCCAGCTCCAGGGAATCTGACTGACTCTCCTCTTGCAACCTCTACTACCGGCACACATGTGCACATACCCACACAAATACATGCACATAACTAAAAATAAAATAAATCTTTAAAATACCTGAATGGAAAATTACATTATACCTCTCCACATAAGACAATACTACACATTTTCCATACTAAAATAATGATGTTCTTTGTGATTCAAAGTTCATGTTTCATAGTAAGTTAAACTGACACATGTCAGTAAGTTATGTAAGAGTTATGGAAATTAAAGTTATTTATTGTTCCTACACATGAGTAGATTAATGTGCTATGAAGAATTTAAAGATATGGTTTATAAGAATTCACTTGGCTAAATCTCAAAAAATATGTACTTTTAAAACAATGTCTTCCTTCCAAGATTTTTATATAACTTCAAGAATGGAGAGAAAATACTGATATTCTTGCAAAAGTCTGGCATATTGCTCTAAGTCCTGAGGTCCTAAATGCATCCCTTTAGGCCACACTTTGTAATAAACATCCCAGTACATGTAATGAGAATTTATCACTGCAATGAGTAAAGCTCATGAAATCCAGTACATTATGAAAAAAGTAAGATTCACATGAACTCCAACCCAATCTTTGCAAAATTGACATTAAGAGTCTTAAATCAGTTGAAAACTGAAACCATAAAGTCATTCAGAGTTAAGAACTACATTATGAAATTATGAAACGAGGGAAACATAAACACACAATAATAGAAGGAACTATGTATGAATGCGAACTTGATAACTTTTAAGACTACACACATATTTCTGATAACCTCAATTTAACTAGACCTAAGACTCAGGGAAGAGCCATTACTATACCATCAGAGGCAGCCCCCATAATTGTGGACACCAGTGTAGCACTCAGTAAATACTTCTTAAATGAAAATACGTTCCATTTATTATGTCTTTTTCACTCACACAAATCATTTTCTCTTGAACTACAATAAAACAAGATTACTCAAACGCATGGTTTAATTTGCCCCATATTGCTAATTCTTTTCCACGTGGATGGAGTACAGGAAAGCAGAAGGGAAGATTCTCTTACATTATGGTCTGGAAATCATCATCCACTAAGATCATGTCTGCAGCCTCTTTGCAAACATCTGTGCCAGTCTGGCCCATTGCAATTCCAATGTCTGCAGCCTTCAGAGCAACAGCATCATTTACTCCATCTCCAGTCATGGCTACAACTGACCCATTCTTCTGTAGAGACTAAAGTGGGCAGAGAAAAGAATTCTGATATTTTAAAGAAGGTTGCTTCCACAAGGTAATGGGATCAGCAAATATCATGAATTATTTTCTTTTACATAATTAAGGTTAGAATCAATATAACCTCATTTTTAATAAAGTTCAGTATATGAAAGTGCTAATAAAAAGCCTAGAAAACACTGTACTAGCATTCTCACCTAAGAGAACTGTTATCTGAAGTCTGACATAGTCAAGTTAACAGGGGCAATTTTTGGTAGTAATTTCTTTTTTTTTTTTTTTTGGTCTTTTTGAGACAGGGTCTCCCTGTAGCCCCAGCTGGCCTGGAACTTGCTATGTAGACCAGGCTGGCCTCCTACTCACAGAAATCTGCCTGCCTCTGCCTCCAAAGTGCTGGTACTAAAGGCATATGCCACCACACCCAGCTTTGGTAGTATTTTTTATTGTCTTGATTCATAGGATACCATTGGCATCGACTGGGTAGGGGTTGAGAATGCTACTAACCATTCTATAATATACTGGAGAGTCTCATTATTCCTAGTGAGGAATGAACCACCCTAAAATGTCAGTGTCAAAACTGAGATACTCTCAGTTATGCAATGGCTGACTATTATAATTTATAACTAACTGTTAGTCAACTGTTAGTTACTATTTCAGTTGTTTAAATATAATAAGTCAAACACTACATAACAACATTCAGTCAATAATGCATGACATATAAAACTGCAGATGGAACTGAAAAGTTCTCAATACCTACCGATTTCCAAATCCTATCAGTGTGCAACACAGTACTTATAGGTACCACTTATTTGTGGTGAATGCCTCATAATACCAAAACTTACCTAATGATACAGTTGTATAATGTATCTCCATTGTTAAGTAACACATGACTAGTTTTAACTAACCCAAAGAAACATTGTTCACTCTCATAAAACTTCCTTCTTAAATTTACTCAGGTTCTAACTATCACTATTCGCACTGGGATGACTTAATTATGGACCCCTTTCAGTATACTTCTACCTTCAGTCTAAAGAAGCTGCATTTGAAAATATTTGTTAGTTTTTCTCTAGTCTTTCTATGCCAATTAGATTCTCTATTAGTGTTTCCATATCAAGCTCTTAAATTCCTATTTTGTCTCTCACAGTACTTTGGATATTGATGCTCTATCAATACTCCTTGCAATGCAAACATTAACAAAAGACAAAGCGGAAGCATTTTGTATAGAGAATTTAAATAATTTAGTTTTGGGCCACCCACCTTAATAATTTTCATCTTATGCCTTGGACTTGCTCTGTAAAATACTGCAACCTGTTCAAATACAGATACATTAAAAATCTCCAATGTTAACAGCATCAGTATAATACATGCATTTATAAATAATTACTTTTTAAATTTGACTTTGACACAAAGATTGAACTTAATCAGTGCCATGTGTCAAGGCACCCTCTGATAGAGGCATTCACCTTTTAAAAGAAACAGTTCTAGATCTTCAAAACTCCCATTTCACAAAGATCTCAATTTCAGCCTCATTGTCAGCTCTCCGGTACCTAAAAGTCATGGCGATTTCAACAGCCACACAATACACTCTCCTTTCCTAAGTTCCTGGAAAACTGGTTCCTCCTGGTCTCCTCCTCATACCTCCCATCTAACTCTCTTCCTCTGGCATCACTCTCAGGTAACAACCTTATTTCCCACTTCAAAGAAAATCTTCCAATCCCTGCACCCAGTAGCTGCATCTAGGATCTATCCTGCTATTTTACTATAGATGGACTAATACTCCCCTTTCTTACCTAATTAAGATCACTGTCCCAGAAATTCTTCCGTCTCCTGTATAATTTTTTTCCCTGTCATTTCAATAAAAATGGTGGGAACTCACATTCCATCCCCTCCATTACTACTCCCACCCTATCTTTCCTCTATTTTATTTTTCAGTCATGCCATCTTAAAATTTCAATCTTTCTCTTCTACTTTGATCTTGTCTGCCTGCTCATTTTGGTGCTTAATATTTATCCCTCTTATATCCATGAAATTGTATTGATCTTAGACTGTAAGATCAATGAAGACTGCTCCCAGTTTTTCTCTTTTTAATAAACTCTTAAAATAAGAGATCATTATTTTCTTAGAGAAAGGACTCAGTTGAACTATAACATTCACTTCTCATTATCCCCAATGTCCTCTGGATCTGTTAATCACTTAATACATATTTGGAAAATATTCTTCAGCTAAGAATAAAGTTCAAAAATCTATTCAGAAATATTTTAGTGTACCTTCAAAGAAGACTAAGCCATATATATACTCAAAAGATGCTGGTAAGTATTTAAATAAAACTTCGAATTATTCAAAACTTAATCATGATGCACACACATCATTGAAATACAATGTTTAGCAAAAAACTTTAGACTGCACAATATATTCAAATAAAGATTGTAAGTACTAACGTCATACTACGTTGTGCCTTGGTTCCACATAATTCACTTTTGAACCTTGCCAAACAATTTATAACCTTTCTGGGCTCCCAAAAATGAAAATCTACCAACTGTTGGACCGAAGACACATTCCTAGGGCTGGAGAGATGGCTCAGTAGTGAAGAACACTGGCTGCTCTTCCAGAGGAACCTGGTTTGGCTCTAGCACTCACAAGGACGCTGACACTTGTCCTTAACTCCAGTTCCAGTGACTCTGACACCTTCTTCTGGCCTCCATAGACATTACATGCACAAGTACACTTACATACATACAGGCACAGGCAAAACAATCATATACATAAAATAAAAATAAATTTAAAAAAATTTAAAGACATCCTTCTTGTTAGTAGCAATTTACTTGTTATGCAATAAATAAACCTATTACTTAAAATAAGATTTTAACATTTCGAAACTTTTGATTTCATCTAAAAAATAAGGACATCCACTTTCATACCAAGCAGACTGATCACAGAGCAAACTGGAACGGATTACTTGGTCTCTTACATGTGGTACTTATCACCACACAGAGAAAAATTTGTTCTTAAAGCACTAGAATAAACCAATCTTGCTGAGTAAAAATACTGAAATTTAATGAACATAAAATAAGCTCCAACATTAACATAGGTAAGATATTACTAGAAAGTAAAATATATCACTATTTTATAGAGTTTAAATCAAACTTCGAGGAATCTGACCATATTTCATTAATGACCTTTTGAATTTTATGTCTGTTTCTCAGTCTGGCAAGAGTAACAGTGGCTAAAAAGATAAGAACAGAATAGAATCACTGCAGTTTGGGAGTAAAAAAGGAAAAAAATAAGAAGATAGAATAGTGGAGATCTGTATTACCAAAGCAAAGAATACAGGGAATAATGGGGGTAGGGCAAAAAACAAATCCACAAAAGGGCTCCAAATCTTCAGAAGGACTCTATCAGGGAGCTTTATTCTTTTCTGTGAGTATTACTTTAGGATTATATTTCAGTCGGCACTCACAGTCCTTCAGATTGACACCAACTGACAAGGTGTACTGAGGAAAGGCAGTTGAGGGGAAAGTAGGAAAATACTATAGCAGAGGTTAATGATGAAAGAGATTAGAGATGGGAATAACCTCCCAAAGGCCTTCAAATCCAGGAGAGACAATCAGGAACTGATGTGATGAACAAATGCAGGTGGTAAAACAGACATATATAACTTACTAAAAATGAAATGATACACAAACCAGGACTACGAGGATTGGTTAAGAGAGTGAGTTAACATACAAACAGAAGTACGAGTATAAAAACAAGAAAACAAAGAATGAGCAAGGATAACCACTTTAATCACCAGAAAACAGGACACACTAAAATCGATTACCAATGGAAAATGCTGGCAGCGCCTAGATGCACTTCATAAACAATTAGCCAAAACTCAGTTTCCATACTGTTTTTTAATTGATCCTAAGTAAATAAATGTATTCACACAGCAAATGTTGAAAGACTGGGAATTTATTCCACAGAATTATGAAAACAAAATACTAAAAATTACTTAAACGAGGAATAGAAGTATATGATTTTAAGATGTGGGAAAAACTTTAATAAGTTTGTAATTTAAAACAAAAGTTCTTATTTGTAAGAGGGTGAGGGACAGAGGGGAAGGAAACAGTCCTGCTCATTTACTAATACCTGAAGAAAAGACGGACATTTCCTCTTTTAAGTTAGATAAACAATCAGTTCAATACGCTTACTTCAAGGCTTGGGTTTTATTTTATTTTAACCTCTTTGGAAAAGTACCAGGATACCTGCCATAACTAATGAACAAACTATTTGGGAAAGAAAGATGATGTAGTTTGTCTAGGTTTATGATACAATTTGTAATTTGTTTCTTCTTTCTCTAAATACCTTTTAGGCTTGTTTCCACAATTCATTAGCAATTTTGTCAGAAAACCAGAGGGTGAACTTGAAGAAAACAAATAAAACATTAGCATCTTCAGGAAAGGAACTGAACAAATGTCTAATGGGAAATGTCTAATTAACTGTAGATTTCACAATCACTTAGTAATATACAGTCTATTCCAATACCTCTGGAGAGTCCAATATAGGACTTACTCTTTCAGAAATAAACCATAGAGATGAGAGAGAGAGAGAGAGAGAGAGAGAGAGCAAGAGAGAGCCCATTCAAATATATACAAGTTATCCCCTAAATCTAAAACAAAGTAAATATATACACTGCCCTTAGATGCTCTGAAAACAGTATTAATGAATGATTAAAGCTTGATAAAGTTCTAATTCTAGCTGAACAAAACAATGGGTTTTTAACCACATCCAAAATCTAACTGCTTACTAGAAGTCAGGGAAAACGCAGCTGGAGGTCTAGGGACTAAACATCATGGCATGAAGTGCAGATTGTGAAAAAAGAAACTGAATCCTCTTCCAAAGACAGTTCAGCAGTGTTTAGAGCCTTACAAATGTGCTGACCCATGGTCAAATTGTTAGAGCTATCTATAGAAGTAAACACATTTGAACACAAAGTTCTATGTACAATAATGTCCAACAAACTGAAAATAAATTTTTAGGGTCACAGAGACACAGGCTCCAGTCCCAATGTCATTCTACCTCTTACCTGCTCTGAGAAATCAGTCAAATCTCCCCAAGTTCTCATCTATATTAGTAATGGGGTGCCTAAATTTCTCACGAAATGAAACACATTCTTACCACATAATCTGATTCTGCAACTATGCTTCTTGGTATTTACTCAACTGAATTGAAAACCAATGTCCACCAAAAAAAAAAAAATCTGCATATTTTTATGCTGACTTAGTAATTGCCGAAATAGAAACAACTAAGATGCCCTCCAAAATGAAGTGGTAAACTGCGGCAGAGTCATACAATAAAATGGGATTCATAATAAATAAGCTCTCAGTCCAGGAAAGAGCATGGTGGAATAATAAATGTATATTAGTCAAAAAACTCAGCCTGGAAAGGCTGAGAAAACTCCAACAATATGACATTCTGTAAAAGGCGAAACTGTAGAGAGAATAAAAAAGTTCAGTGCTTGCCAGTGACTCAAAGTAAAAAAGAACGAGTTAGTAGAATAGGGAGGATTTTTATGCCAATGGAACTATTATGCATGAAACTGTAATGGTTAGCAAAACAATTATCCATTTGGCAAAACCTCTAGAAATACAGAACAAAAGAAACCTTCATATAAACCACAGAGTGTGACATCAAAGTATCAAACTGGCTAACTGCAATGCATATACTATATTAATCAAGCTATTTATGACACTATTGATTATTGATCAAGCTATTAATGAGAGGAAATGATGAAGAGGAAAGATGGGATAGCTAACACAAAACAGTGTATTAATCGCTAAAATTTTGTAAATGTGGTCATCTATCTTTTTAAGATGGTATAATACATGGTTGCTGCTATTATTGTTAAAATTCTATTCATAGTAGAAAAATACATGAATTAAAACTTCGCTCAGAAAATGGTTATACAAACACGCATGCTCATACACATATGCACAGGGCACAGCCATACAAAATATAATGTAATCATTACAGTTAGGTTTTCTAGTAATAATTAGTGATTTCAGAAATGCTGAAGTTACATAAAATGAATGTTAAGATTAGGACTGTACCAAGCACAAACTATTTTTGTTAAACACACTTTTTAAAAGTCACAGTGGGTTAGCTTATGCTGAATGCTGTGTGAGCACACAACCTCTGAGTGTCTAGGTGAGATTATAAGCAGTTTGAATTCTATCTCTTACTTTGTTGAGGTTTTCAATTTTTCAATAACGAACATATGCTATTAGTAAATAAATTTCCTAATCAGGAAAAAATGAATTATAAAACCACAAGCCTTAAGATGTTGAGATAATTTAAGAAAATTGTACATTTTGAATATGCAGCCCATGAATATAATAAAGGAGGTATTATATTTTATTACTGAAAACAGACAAAATGCCAGATAAGTACTTATTTGATGGACATACAAACGCATGTACATAAATAGATCAAGTACCAATGAGACAAAAAAAAAAAAACAACACAACTTAAATGTTAACATGAAAGAATACTACCCAACTCTTGTAAAGCCAACTTCCTATGCGACTTGTATATCTGACAGCCAGATTCTATTTGGCCACCATGAAGCAGACTAAGATAATAGAAATAATTTTGCAGGGGAAAACCTGGCTTTAAAAAGGTTCTTACAGTATACAAAGCAGGGATATCTTTTTTTTTTTTTTTCCTGTAAATAATTTGCTACAAAAGCAATAGACTCCCCACAAAAAAGCATTTCAATGACAAATGTAGTCTTCTCAATAGATGGTGCTGGAACAAAGAAACACCTAGGCAACAAAAGGAATCTTAACAATTACAGTGTAAACTCAAAATGGATCACCAACCAAAACATAAATCCTAAAATTAAAAATCTTCCAGGAGAAAATTCTCTGTAATCCTAGTTTAGACAGTCCTCAATTAAGAAACGACAGACATGATCCACGAAAGAAAATATTAATAAACCAGATTTAATCTGCTCTTTGGCCAAAGACTGGAAAGACTATTTTCAAAGTAAGTTATATAATAAATGTCACACTATATTAAAAACTCTCAGAATTAAATAAGAAAATATATAATTTTAACTTTCTTAAATATTCAGAACACTTCAACAGAGCATATTAATAGGGCAAATAAGTACATAGATGTTCAATATTGTAAGTTTTTAGGGGGAATGCAAATGAAAACCAAAAAGATCTTCCTGTTTACTATTAGAAGGGGGTGAGGGACATGACAAACCAAATGCTGATAAGGATGCAGAATTTCCAACACTGCAGAAGAAAGTACAAAATGATAAAGCTATCATGTGAAACAACGTGGCAATTCGTATGAAGTTAAACCCACATTAACCATACGACCCAGCAAATACTCATGGTATTCACCCATGAGAAAGGATCATTTATTTCTATACAAAAGCTAATACATAAATGTTTACAGTAGCTTTACTCATGATCAGCAAAAACTTAAAATAATACAAATTCCCTTAAACTGAAGATAATAGTTCATCCAAATAGCCAAAATACTACTCAGCAATTTAAAAAAAAAGACATTCAACATAGTTCTCTCTCCAATACATTAGGCTAAGTTAAATGAATTGGATTCAAAAGCCTCATACTACGTGATTTAATTCACAATTCTAAAAAAGATGACTATAGGAATAGAAAATCAATCACTGGCTACTTAGAAGTAGGGAAGCAGTTGAATACAAGGAGTCATGAAGAATTTGAGGGTAGGAAAACACTGATATATTGTGTTTGTGGGAATGTTTACTAGACTTCATTAACTTGTCAGAACTGTATATACATCAAAATATGTGAATTTTACTGTCTGTAACTATCTCAATTTTTAAAAAGGAAATACATGCTCAAGCTAAAACTAAAACAGTCAACAGATAAGTAAGAAGTATAAAATAAGTCTTAATCCATCTCCTAATTTATACATGTATGAACTCCTAATAACCACAGTACTTAAGAAAAAATTAAATTATTCCTACAGTACTTGATTTTGCAGGTTTTTCATACATAACAATCACATTTTATTTCAAAGAAATTTCACTTCAGAATATGGACCAACAAATTTAGTGGTCATGTTTCATCAGTAAATAAACAGTTTCACTGAGACATTAGTAATCACTACCACTGAGAGTAAGGGCTCTCTGTCTGAAAGGCTTGATTCTAGGGCTTACCTTTGGTACTATTTGTGAAAGCTGCTGGACATCCATAGCATCTATTTCTTCTCCAGACACTGACTGAGACGTTTTAGAATACAATCCTAGACGACTGGCTGAAGTAAAAGAGAGAAAATGTAATAAGCAATCTCAGATGACCGGCTAAAGTACAAGGGGAGAAAATGTAATTAGCCAAACTGTTTTGCTTGAATAGTTAAAAGAAAAAAAGCCTGTTTATTTAATGTGATTTGTTATTTACATTTAAATATAAAAAGTCTTTAATAGAAAAAGTCTTTATATCAAGGGGTTATAAACTAAAACACTGGGAACTATCTGAATTCAAAGTGAGTCTGAGGTTTTCTTGAGGGATTTGTTTTTGTTTAAAGAATTAAGAGTTTTCCTAACTCAGCAAACACTAAGAATTAAAACTAGACTAACCAAGTTCTGCTCAGCTGCTCAATTCTAATCAAGATCAGAATACACTATTATATTCAGAATAACTGAAGCCATAAAACTGGTGGTGGCATTTTAGTGATAATGTAGCTGCGCTGAAATGAAAATACAAGCTGAAAAGTCATTCTCCCAACAGCATAATTCTAGTGACTTTTCTTAAGATAACAAAGTTTGAATCTGCCATGGTGGCGCAAAGCCTTTAGTACCAGCACTTGGGAGGCAGAGGCAGGCAGATCTCATGAAATCCAGGCCAGTCTGGTCTGCATAGTGAGTTCCAGGCCAGCTGAGGCTGTAGGAGACTCTGTCTCAAAAAAAAGATAACAAAGTTTGTAACTTCTAGCCCAGACCCATTACAAATTAATAAAGTGAGAATTAATAGAGCTTTACCAAATATTATGTTATAGTTTAGAGGCTCTGAAAGACTGGCTTTCATGCTTCCCCCATTACATTATTTAAGGTAATTACAAACAGTTTTCAAAACACATGGGTATATATCTGATGAGAACACAGAAATATACAGGAAGCTCTCCTTAGTATATCTGTCCAAGTATACTGTGAACTAAAACATCAGTTGAAAGGAAAAACTAAGGAAAAATTCCAAAGCTATTGTTTTTATCAGTAAATAGATTATAAAGCTAAAAAATGTCAATTACCCTTCTGTGGATAAATGTACAAATGATTTCATAATGATTTTATCATGTGTTTTCATTATTCTTCAACTAAAATCCAATTTGCCTACAATTTTTCAGAGTCTGAGCAAAACAACAATCAGTTGTATTTGTATAATCTCAGTACGTAAACAAGTCAAAAGTTCACAAAACTATGTACTGCAGTGTTTTAAGAAGAAAGCAGTGCAGTTATACCTATTGCAACTGCAGTCTCTTGAGAGTCCCCAGTGATCATTTTGATGGAGACTCCTGAGGCAATGAGGGTTGTAACAGCTTCTTTCACACCAGTTCTCGGAGGGTCAATGATACCCACCAGGCCAAGGAAGGTCAGTTGTCCCAGTTCCGGACCAGAAGCCAAAGCGAGAACTTAGGAAATAATAAAACCCAAATGATTAAATACAAATCATTAAAACAGTAGAACATAGTTGACAATAAATCACATAGGCTATAATGTCATTTGTAGTTTTTGCCTATTCTTTACAATTCAAAGTTATTACATGCCAACATATTATATTTTAATGGTTCTGGATATTTACGTCAAACTCTGGAAAGCAAAGATCTGAAGTCTTATAAGGCCATTCATACCAACAAAGTTTAGATTGCTTCACTGCTTTCAAACATTAACAGGCCTTTTTTATTTATAACTTTGGTTGAGTTCATAAATAACACTATCCCATCAATGTGTATTGTTTTCTTTCATCAATTGGCAATAAGATCTAGCATAATCTAGTACATTTTTCAAATATTAATCAGCTTACTCTCAGGACTCTGAAACCTCTAGTAACTACCATTATGAACCAAAAGAATGTACCTGCATTAGGGTATTATTAGAGTGAATGCTTACCAAAAAGTACCCACAGAAGCACAGTAAACTAAAAGTACCTCAGAGGGACACTGGAAAGCTCCATAGAAACCCAAATATTCTTACTCAAGCAGAGTGTATAGAGGATTGGAAAAATCAAAGTTGAAGGTAAGCCACTTCTGTTTTCCTTCCACTTTAAGAAAGTTGTATCTAAGTATGTAGATGTGGGTCACACAGGCTGTCACAAAGGAAATGAGCCACCTAGTATCTTGGTGCTAGAATAGAGGCAGGGGGCAATCAAAGGGGACAATAAATATCAATTTGGTGTCAGCAGATCCTGAGAGATCAGTTATGAGTACTCCTGATGGAGGAGTGGCTCTGGCCTAGAGGTTGTAACCTATATCTCTTTGTTTTGTATCTTTAGCATTAATGAAGATCTTTGTAGATATTCTTTGGGTCAAGAGTCAGTAAATACTGTTCATACAGAAGTCCCTAAACGTAAAATAATTATTATGGTTTGAACATTCTGTTCTTCACAGCCTCATGTGTCTGAACATTGGGTCCTTGGCTGGTATTTTTTGTTGATTTTGTGGGGTTGTGGAACCTTTACAAGGTGGGGCCTATCTGGAGGAAGTAAGTTACTGTGGGGCAGACCTTAAACTTTATAGCTCCACTGTTCTGCCCTCTTTCTACTTCCTGATGCTGAGATGCTACCTCATACTCCTGTTGCCATCTTGAGCCACTCCTACCACTATGCCTTCCCCACCAGGATGGACTGCAACCTTCAACTGTGAGCCAAAACAAGTTCTTCCTCACTAAAGTTGTTTCTTATCAAGTAGATAGTCACAAGAAAAGTAACTAATATATCTTCTGACAACAGTTTAGAACCACAGGCATTTTAAGAAACAAGGTTTATAAGATAAAACATAACTATGAACCAATTTAATTTTTTTTTTTTTTGGTCTTTTTGAGACAGGGTCTCCCTTAGCCCCAGCTGACCTGGAACTCACTATGTAGACCAGGGTGGCCTTGAATTCAGAGATCCGCCTGCCTCTGCCTCCAGAGTGCTGGGATTAAAGGCATTTGCCACCACGCCCAGCCAACCAATTAAAATTTTAAATCATTGTTCTTCCAATACAGTAATCACACTGAGAGAAAGGAAGTGAAGAAAAGACATAAAATGAGAGACAAAGATCATGGTATTTCCTAAAATCCTATGAAACAATGTTTTTTCTCTACCAATTCTGGTCTATTTCACAATGTTACAACATTAACCATACACAAAATCATCCGCAATTCTTCAGATGAAGAACAATAGTCAAAATAAAAATGTGAAGGAAATAAGAAGCATATTCCAGGATTTTTTAGGTCCTTGAAGTTTTCTGAATCCATGTAAATTTGAGGCTCTCTTGTTAAGACCTGCTAACAGTTACAAAACTCTTAGCCTCTACCCCCATATGCCTTTTGTCCCTAACATTTCAGTGCTTTATTAACAGCTGGAAATAAATATCATAAGCTGGAGGTGATGACATCCCAGAGGGCAAGTGATAGAAAGGGGGCTGCATTTTGTCCCACCTCACCTTTTATTATTTCAGTTTTTCTTTCTTTTTTCATGTGCAGTTTAGCAGAAGTAGGCCAAAAAAATTTCAAAGTCTCAAGTGTAACCAAACAGGGAGAAAGAGATAACAGGTTTCTGAACCAATCTTTCCAGGAATCACTCTGAGAAGTTGCCACAGCCACTGTGGGTCTCACAGCTACCTCTACTCTATCGCTTGTCTAAGTTCAACCTCAGAAAAGGTTCTTCTCCTGCCCCAAAACTGATGATGGGAGGCACATTCTGCCTTGGACTTAAGGATCTACAAGACTTAAGGTACCTCTGTTCAGGATTCAGGCCTATGGAATGAAACAATAAAAGCTCTGAAGCCTGACATCAAGCCCCTTACACTATCAAAATGAAATGGAGGAAAGGCTATTTTTCTTTTAAAATATTTTTTAGTATAAAAACAGACCCATTACAAACCAATTTCTCAGCCAGGAGGCTCTCCTCCCCTTTCCACGGAGATTGTGAGGTTCTGAGATGACACACCTAGCTGAAGGGAGGACATCTGGAGTGACCTTTGTTCAGCAGCCTGGGCACTAGTACAGAGTCCATAGAGGCAAAGGAAGCATGGCAGCAGCCTGGGGCCAGCACTTGTTGCCCACAAGAATGCCTTTCCAGGCTTAGCTTGCTATGAGAACCTAATCCGGGTGGGGAGTTGGCTCAATGGGTTAATTGCTTGGCATGGAAGCATGACAACTTTGGTTCAGATCCCCAGCAGCACACAAAAAAAGTTGGGCATGGTGGTGTGCATGTGTAACTCTAGTACTGGAGAGCACAGACACGAGCAACCTGGGGACACTGACCAGCCAAGTGTAGTCAAAACAGTTGAGCTCCAAGTTTCAGTGGGAGAGCAATAAAGGAAGACATCCTAACATCCTCTGGTATCCACACACACCCACGTAAGTTGTCCACCCATCCGTCCGTGCCTCCCCCCAACAGAAGTCCTATGAACCTATTAAATGTTTTAAATCTGAAGAATGAATCACAAGAAGATTTCTTTTACACACTTATGTTTCTCCAAGAAATTGTAGCATTTGACTTCCAATTCATTAAAAATGATGAAAGTAAGGAAGCTAACTTGTCCCATTTCCTCATGAGACTATATAATTTCCGTAAGCCAAGTGACTGTTGACAGAAGAACCAGGTATGGCCCCAACTCCCACCCCTCAATTCTTCACATGGTACTCCTAGGACAGAGAGTCTGGTGTGTGGTGCCCAGGAGACACTGCAATCTTTCCTCATCCCTATCTCATTCAAGGAGCAACATATACATAAGCAGTATCTCAGCACTTCTCACATGATAAACATGGTACATGCTTATAACCCCTAGCACTTGGAAAGCTGAGACAAAGGGATTATTAATTTAAGGCCTGTCTGAGCTACAAATCAAGTCTGGTCAGTCTGGACTACAGCTTTAAGAACATGTCTCAGAAACAAATCAAAACAAAACAAGGTCCATCACAGGTAAAGGTACTTGCCACAGAGTCTTTCAACCTGAGTTTCACCCCTAGAACTCACTAAAAGGAAGAACTTAGTCTCACATGTTGTCCTATGACCTCCACATGCATACTGTGCCACACACATACAAAATAAATGTAATAAAAAACTTCCAAAGTAAGATAAACTACTTTAAAATAAAATCCTTACCTTACAGCAAGAACACTGTAGATCTATAGGAAGTAAAGAGTTCATATTTTTCTCTATTCTTGACCTACCATCACTGCAGATCAGTTCACCAACTAATAAAATGTAACACCTCAAAAATGGCAAAGGTTCTTTGAAGCCTGAATAGATTTGGACAGCTCAGATGTAAAGTATGAATTTATCTGCAGTTAAAATAAGGTATTCTTGGCCAGCTCAGGGATTACGTTGAAATCAGCCTTACCTCTGAGTCCCGCTGAGCCCATCCGTGCCTTCTCTTGCTGGTATAGATCTCTCTGCTGCTGGGTCAGTGTCAAGGTCTGCCCTTTGTTTTGGTATGTAGTACAGTACTTAATCACCTGTTCATAGGCACCCTTCATAAAACAAATCTCTGGTCTGTCCTAGGAAGAAAGCATACGATGTTTAAATTCAACTTGTACGTATCTCCTACTGGAATAAAAAAAGGGGGGATGTCCATTTCTTGTAAACCTTAGGGAAATTATTCAAATCTAATGCCTTGAGTAACACTTTAAGATTAAAAACACTTATGGGAGTTTTCTGTATCTTTCTATTTAAAAAAAAAAAAAACTGTCCCACCATCCATTACATTGGAGGCAATGCTATAATCAGCTGCAAATTAGGCACTCTGAGATTTGGGACAAAGTTTCTCACAGTGTAGAAAGAAAATAGATGAGCTCTAAAGCCAACCCATGGATAATAGTTCAGGCTCTTAATCAATTACTAGTAATATGTCTATGCCTACATACATACCTATCTACGTTGCTTTTTCTCACAGCCACCTCGTAATTGAGAATAGTACCAGATTTATGTGTCATAGAATATTTAGCATAGCATGTGCAGGGCAGGCCCTGAGTTCATTCCATAGGATGGGAAAAACAAATACAAAATGATACTCAGAAACTTACAATGAAGAACTGCAGTCCCTACCAATCCTTCTCACTCGGGGTCTTCCTCCATCAGAGCTAATCCATTAGAACGCTTCCAGCTATTTCTTTGGTTTTTACCACTGAGATTTGAAGACATTTAGAATGCAATTCCTTCAGTTACCAATTTTATACATTGTCTACTGGGATACTAATTTGGCCACATACATTACCTATGCCCCGTTCTATCTTTAGGATGTCAAGCACCATTAGTACTTATATTGTAATTCCTCCCTGTTGAGCCCAGTACAATATTAACTATAGTGGCTCTCCAACATCCTGATTCTCTTTGCAAGCAGGAGTGCATTTCCTTCATGCGCCCCTTATCCCCAAAGTCAAATGCGATTTGTTTTACCCAATAACTATGAAAAGAATTTGTGTCATTTACAGACGGAAATTTAGGAGTTGCTGCATTGTTTGTATTCCTCTACCCATGGCTATACCACTGTTGGTTCAGCATGAGATGGAGCTTCTATCCACCAGTATTCCAATAACTACAATGAGCAGGTATCTGGAGCCAAGGAGGTAGCAAGAGGGTGTGATGCTGTCTACAAGGCCTATCCTCACCAATAAATCAACTTATTCATCTTCTTCTATTAAAATTTTGTCATGTATAAAGTTAATACTTTTTTATATTTTCTAAGGTCTACCTCATTCATTCTTCCCAAACTCTCCAATGGGATACCAAACAATTCTGCTATGATAACTTTTACATGATAAAAGGAACAGGTAAGTAGCACTGCCCTTTTTACTGGAGACCTCCTTTACTTCAAGCATTGCTCACCTTATTTTTCTAATTCAAGCTGGCCCTTCTCAATTCTAAGTCTTCCTCTTCCTTGGTTTACTGCCTACTAGTATCTTTTTCATTTAAATAAGACTGTGTGACGTACATTTTTATTTTCTTTCTCACATTTCTAAGTTTCCTCTCATTTTGAAGGCTTTGCTACATTATCTTCCAAATATCCAGTGTTACAGTACAAAACAGCTACTATTAACCCCTAAGTCTTTTTTACGATCCCCATCCCCCTCACCTGAACCTTATTACATATCTCCTCCTCTTCTAAACATCTCTGGATGCTTTTCAAATTCTTCAAATATCCTCAAATTTCTTGATTTCAGGGACCTGTTTATCTCCTTTTAATGTATCTCCCATTTAACATACTCACTATAGTGAGCAGCTAGTGAGCCATTCTACTATAAAATCTACAATTTTTCTGTTCTAGAAATATTTCTGGTGTTATTTTTTATTGCAATGGATGGAGGCTATCGCAGAGTTCCACAACTGGTCATACACAGAGACTATACATCTGAGAGATGCCCAGCCCCAGGAGTGGGACATCTACATCCACAGTGGAATCTCTACATCTAAGGCTAATGGAACATACCAAAACAGGGGGTGGAAAGATTACTAATGCATCCCTCAGTTCTCACCAGGGAAGCTTCCTTATACAACTGAGTACAATACACACAAAAGGCCACAACTGGCTAAATTTCAGAGAATAAGATACTGCAGGTGCATGTCCTTAGATAGGACTCCTATATAAAACTTCACCCACCTACAGCTCAGGGTCCACTGCAGAAGAAGGGGTGGAAAGATTGTTAAGAGCAACGGTTGGTCCACAAACATAGGGAAACAGAGGCTTCCGGGTCACTGGAAGCTTGGTCGTGTGAACTTGCAATGATGGGTCTCGTGCATGAGATTATGCCAGCTCAATCAGACAAGGGATCAGTGTGGTGTGAGGGAAATGGGCAGTGGGCCCCTCCGTAGCCTGGGAACTGTTGGGAACTCATTACTGCTGGATGAGGAAGATGTAAATCTTCTTTAAAAATCTCTAGATAGGCTGACTAGATTCCAGTGGATGAATCTGCACCAAAGGACATCTAGGTACATGCTTGACCGAATAAGGCTTAACATGTATGAATGCATGAGGTCCACTTGGGTGGGGGGCTATGTGGAGGTGTGGATCAGGGAGGGCTCTAAATTTCATTAAGAACTACTGTATGAAACGCACAAAAACTCAATAAAAAATATAAATTTTTAAAATATAGTCTTCAAAACCTCAAATATAAAAAAGAAAATTTCAAATTTACACATAGAGTATAATGAACTTTCCATATAGTTATCATCTATATTTAATATTTTTATTTTGAAATAAATTTTTTTAAAAAGGACTTTCAACCTCCTCTATTTTAAGCTGTCTTACTCCTGCTTCAAAAGTAAGAGCAGTAAGTATTCTAAACCATGGAGCCATCTCTGCAGTCCAGCAGAAATTTTTTTTTTAAGGATACCTGCTGTGTCCGATGTACACACTTAACAGCCATCCACTTTTGCTCAGAACTAAAGGGGTATTCAGCTTTTCTGATATAGTCTTGTTGAAGTCCATCAAGACCCATCTATAAGGTAAGAAATTTAAAGTTAACTCTAACCCACATATGATTTTTTTTTTAACAAACAACATAGGTTACAACTTAAAGCTTGCTGGGTTAGCAATAACTGGATTATTTTCTATGTGCTAGTGAATAGCAATGTCCCATCTATATGGACTGCATTTCCCTGATCAGCAGCATACACTTTCAACATGAAACCCTGGGTATATAGATATTAATACTGAACTACATACACACTAAGTCTTCGATACTGACTAATCTCTCTACTAGCTCTAACTCTGGAAGGAAAGAAGGTAAGAATAAAGGTGCCTAACCAATACCGAAATGAACTTTTCTGATAAACAGAGGTTTTGTATTTAATCCTTCTTGTCCACTGCTACTATCCTACTCCTTTACCCTTACACTTTATAAATACTGACAACTACTAATGTTATGTGGTAGTTCTCACTCCCAATACCCTTTTCGTCATGTTCCAAATCACCAAAAACATTTTTGAGCTATTCAAAAGTTGACAATTTACTGGTTTTTGTTTTCTTTGGAACCATGTTCAGACCTTTCTTGGCATTCAAAGAGCCTAACATAACCCACCGAATATGGCCTATTTAACAATCATCCTCTTTTCTCAAATACCTTTCATTTCTCCTATATTAGCCAGCTGATTAACCTTGACTTACTCCACACTTATTTATTCCCTTATGTATTCCCTCTAGCTCTTCCCTAGATGAGTTCATCTAAGCCCTTTCTGTCCTTTAAAGCCCAATTCCCAGCTCTGAATTTGCAGTTTAAGAAATGTTTTCTGTTTTATTTTTGTTTGTTTTGGTTTTGCCTTGTTTTGATTTGTCTTTGATTTGATTTGTTGTTCAGTTTATGACAGCTGCAGCCCCAGCTGACCTGGAACTTTTATGTAGACCAGGCTGACTTTAATCTCACAGGGATCCACCTGCTTCTACCTCCCCAGTGCTGGGATTAGAGGCTTGTGCCACCATACCCCACAGCTCAATGTTTTAAATTTAACTACCTTGGCCTACCTTTTATTTGTCAGCATTAACTCCTCATCTAAAATATGAGAGCTCTCTGTCCACAGGAGGTGATTTCACTTTACCTCCCCAAGAGGCTAGTATAATGTTAAACAGAAAAGGAGATAACTGATATCTGATTCATGTTTTTTTACTATTTTTTAAAAAACTATACATGGAATTTAGTCACAAGAAGAAATATAGAGAAATGCAGCTTTCTGTGGAGAAGACACAATCATTTTAAAGCTACTGGGCAGGGGTTTATCTCAGAGTTAGACTGTTTGCCTAATTTATAGAAGATCCTGGGTTCAATTCTTAGACCAATGAAATGAATGAATGAATGAATGAATGAGTGAGTGAATCCACTAATTTTGTTCTTTTGAATTAAATGTTCTAATAACCTATAACTTTATATTGACTCTCATGACCAATGATCTCATTGAACAAGTCTTGATGCTTTCTTAAACTATTCTTAAAAATGGGGAAGTTATGCTGGGCAAGGTGGTGCACGCCTTTAATCCCAACACTCAGGAGTCAGAGGAAGGAGGATCTCTGTGAGTTCAGAGCCAGCCTGGTCTACATAGTGAGTTCCAGGCCAGCTGGGGCTATAAGGAAGGGAGACCTTGCCTCAAAAAGACAAAAAAAAAAAAAAAAAAAAAAAAAAACAGAAGTTATTTTTGTTATATAAATAGCAGAGTAGGCTTTTAGATTTCTCACTTACATTGATATAAAATCAATATGAACAGATGAACAGATTACAAGAATAATACTTCTTCCAAACACAAATTTTAATTTAATATCCATTTGGAGAAATTGATAAAGGAAAAAGAAGCCTGGGAAAAGAAATGCTGATTTCTTACTACTGCATTAATATCTTTCTTAAAAGTCATATAACATTTATTAACTTTTACTTCATATAAAAGTATTTCAGAATATTTTCAGAATATATTTTACTCATACAGAAACATTTAACAGCAACTACACACATTTATAAAGTTTTTTTACATATATACCTCAGTATTAAGAACAAATTCATCACTGGCTGTTATTAGTTTGTACCTTGCACTGAGGAATAAGGTTACACTGAAAAAGTTCTATGCTCTATATTTACAGGAATAAAACTGTTCCCCAAAGCCAGGTAACAACAATGAAAATGTGAGTCTTCTTCACTGACTATCTTTAAAATACAGTAATAATCAAATTGATGGCCTCACATTCTGTTGTCAGGATATCATAGCCCATGTGCAAAAGATATTAAGTACATACCTTCATAGCAAGAGCAATTAAGGCTCCTTCAGTTGGTTTTCCCATTAGAGTGTTGTTCCTAATTACAGCATCATTGCACACACAGCCCGCCTAAGAGAAATGCATATAAACTATGAATTCATCACTGTGACTTAAGTCATTATGAAAAAAGTTACCTTCTTGGACAATAATTTTCTTTTTAATTTTGAATTCATTTTTAGTTGTTGCATGTTCAAAAATCTTTTGCTGTTGCCTTTTTTTTTAAAAAATAATCCTCACATTCAATTTTTGGACAATAAATTTTTACCTCAACAATTCTGCTAACAGATGGGTTATAGAATCCATGAACAACATCACCATCAACAATTACTTCACCAAACTGATTGTAACCAACTCCAGTAACCTGAGGAAAATGAAGGGGGGAAATCAATAATAGAAACAGAAAACTGATTTTAGACTTAATGAAAACTAAAAAACATCCTGAGCTAAGTTCATTTCATTTTCAAGATCATGCCACTGTTACTATAAATGTTCAATAAAATATATCTAAAAATGATGATGTAATAGTTAAAGGAATATAGCATCTAATTTTTAGCATAATGATTAACCTATAAGATAATTTCTTCTGTTTGTAACACATTATTTTTGACCCTGTCTCAAAAAGACAATGAAAAAACAAAAACAAAAACAAAAAGCCAGGTAAACCATGTGAAAACCTCTATACAAGTAAGCTTGAGTTTCTTTGACACTATACTTCCTTAGTGTACTAAAGCTTTCAAAGAACTTAAATTAGCACATCTGATATTTCACACAAACTCATGACTTGGGATAGCTGGAATTTTATATCCAAATATACAGGCTAAAAGATAGTACTTACTAACTACTTTTATATAGCACATTACATGCCTGTCTTAAAAATAACAGAATAAGCAAAGTACCCTATACAGCTAGAGTCAAGCCAAACAAATGTCATAAGAAAAACAATATGGTTTAAGAGAGAAACTACTTAACAAATCATTAACAGCTAAAACAAAATGATGGACTCAAAACAGAAACTAATTTGTCTGTCATACATACATGTAACTATCCTGCTGAAGGAACAGTACATTCAGCAAAATAGCATTAGGTATTCTTTATCAAACCTAATACCCTAAATTCAACAATCTCATTTTAAGGACTACGTAAATGTACCTAAATAAACCAAGTACATACAAACTCAATTTTTCTAATGTTTGTTGTTTTCCTCATGAACTAGCTGTGAATACATTTTCAAATATTGCACCCATCATAACTAGTATTAAGAATATTATTTCAATGACAGATTCTGCAAAGACTAAGAGGGCCTGGAATTTGTCTTCTACCAACTTCAGGAAGAACTACTGAAAGAGATAAACACTTAAAAGATTATCAATATGCAATTTTACAATAGTCATTCATCTATGGAGTCACACAAGTATTTACTATGACATACCATGTTAGTTAATACAGCCCCTGTTCTTAACAATTCAGAGCAGAATAGAAAAGAAGGACAGACATTTTCAGCTGGAATAAAGACTAGAATGCAGAGAACATGTGCAGCATAGAGCCAGTTCTGAGTCGTCAGCAAAGCTTTCCTGAAGATTCCTAGAATCAAGGTGCCAAAGATAAAGAAGCACTGACTATCTTATGCCCTAGGCCAGGAACAAAGGTCCTAGGAAAAATTCTGTCACACTGAAAGAACTATAAAGCTAGTACAGTTAACATATTTGGTGCACAGTAGACAAAAGAGGGGAAAAGACAAGGCTGGAGAAGGAAGTAAGAGACAATGCAGGGCCTTAAGAAGCCACAATCTAGAAACCTAGTCACAATGGAAAACCATTGAAGTACCTTAATTTAAGGGAGTGGTCTCTTAAAGTAGAGTACGTGAGAACCAAAAATAAACATAGCAAGACTTGTCAAAAGGCTGCATCAGAAGGCCAGCTGAGATGACCCGCAACAAGGTCTAGGGAAGCTGGCTACCAAATATAGCTAGGAAAGCCATTTAGTAGGTCATACAGGAAGGGCTTGTTGCTGAATGGGTGTAGGGATGATTAAAAGAAATGCCCAGGGATCAAAGCTTCTGAATTGTACAAGCACAATGAGACAAACATCATGATAAAATCACATAGGAAGGAATTAATTCTGGATTTTGAAGATGAAACACTGGAATTGCTAAGCATGTTAAAACACCAAGGTTCTGGGGCTAGAGAGATGGCTCATCAGTTAAGAGCACTGGCTACTCTTACAGAGGGTTTAAATCCCAGCACTCACATGGCTGCTAACCACTGTCCTAATTCCAGTTCCAGGGGATCCGAAGCCCTCTTCTGACCTCCGAGGGTATTGCACAACACAGGTGCACATGTAGGCAATACAGTCATACACATACATTAATAAAACACCAAGTTTCTCAACAAAGGTATACTGTTGTTTTAATAAAAAAATTTAAAAGCTAAAGAATACCTCAGCATGCAGACCATCTGAAGTAACTATGTGTGTAACAGTCATTTCGTTCTTTGTCAACGTTCCAGTTTTATCTGAACAAATCACATTACAGCAGCCTAAAAAAACAAATCATTGGGTATCACCAATAGTCAGGCAGGACAGGCTGGCTTATAAAATGACTTTGGAACAGTGTTCTAGTTCTCTAAATTTTATAGAGACCAAATCACTGGTAACCTTCATTTCTTACATTATGTTTGCTTCGTCATAAATTTAGGAAGGTAGAAACAAAAATCAGATTTCCTTCTGTTTACTTTTTCTTACTTCTTATAAAACTAATTCATATTGGTTTTGTACAATGATTTTTCAGAATACATTTTCAAGAGAGTTTCAAGATTTTGATGTATAAACCCACATAATTTCTTCAGTCAAGGTTTTTCAAGGTATTATAAATAAGAAATTGAACTTAATGCATTTTTGGATAGCCAATTTTTTAAGTTTCATGATATAGTCTGAATAAAGTTGTTAAAGCAATATAACCAGGATATACTTACTGTTCTTATTATAAGAAAATTCAACTTACATATGAAAATCTGAGATCTATAATTATCAATTGTTTTTTCCTTAAGATATCAAAAGAAAAACATTCTAATAACTGTGCTCTAAGGTTTCATTTGCAATATGGATTTTTAAACTATGAGCTAAACATTAGAATATTACACAAAGCACAAAGAGTCTTCCTGAGAAATAAATCTTTTTAACTGCTTCTCCTGGCTGCGAAAACCATGTGCAACACTGTCACAGACCAGCATCATTCTGCAAGCCTCTCACAGGAAAACTGTAACTAATGCATCATCACCTAAGTGTGCTCTTCACAGCACTTACCCAGAGTTTCAACAATAGGGAGCTTTTTCACAATGGCCCTTTTCTTCACCATTCTCATAACACCAAGGGCTAGTGTCACTGTGACCACAATAGGCAGACCTTCAGGAATTGCTGCCACAGCCAAACTATGAGTAATAAATATACCACATTAAAATGTAAGTTTGCTTAACAGTTATCACAACAGTAATTCCTATTCCTACTTCCTAATTCCCATTAGCTTTTTTTTTAGTTTGATATAGTTTAGCATCATTAACACTCTGTTCTACAACCGTAACTTTTTTTTTTTTTTTCTTTTTTGGTCTTTTTGAAGTAGGGTCTCCCTGTAGCCCCAGCTGTCCTGGAACTCACTATGTAGACCAGGCTGGCCTTGAAATCACAAAGATCCACCTGCCTCTGCCTCTGCCTCCGAAGTGGTGGGATTAAAGGCGTGCGTCACCACGCCTGGCTCTTTTTTCATACTTTATTTAGAGGTTAATATAAGCAAATTCAACTTACATATGAAATTTTGAGAACTATAATTGAAGGCTGAAAGACGCAACATTTACAAAACTATTGGCAGACCATGCACCCAGAAGTTAACATGTGCATAATGTTCCCAGATGAAATGGAATCCTTTCCTCTCATGCTTCACATCCAACAGACTTTTTCAATCTTACTTTTAAGTCATTTTATAAATTACTTACAGAGGAATAAAAACTTCATTAGAAATATTTTTAATCTTAATCCAAAAATACTCCTTGTTTTTAAAAGTACATATCTCTAAAGTGGGCAACATTCTCTGGATGCAATTAACTGTTCAACTGTCAATTAATAAAGTTTGAGCATAAGTCTTGTATTTTTTTTTTAATTTCAAAAAAAACATTTCTAACAGATTCTAGCTCACCAATGCTGGTTCTTTTGCTGGTTTGGGGGTTTAGGGTTTTTTTTTTCGTTCTTATTATTTATTTATTTACTTATTTACTCACTTATTTTACATAGGGTCTCGCTGTCCTAAGCTGGCCTCAAATTTACAACTTTCTTGTTCCTGCTGGGTTAACAGGTAAGAGCCACCAGGCCCAGCCAGGTTCTTTTGCTTTTGTTTTGGCAACAAGTAACACTTTTGAAAATACTGAGAATGCTCAGCTTTGTGGAAAGGAGACAGTCAATCTTTTTTACACAACTGGGAAATATTTCTGGTCTTAGATTTTAGAAACACCAAATATAGTGATAAATACAATGAATTTTCCTATTTCTGCATTAACATTTCTTTTAACCACCTTTATATTCTTACTAGTCTTCAAACATTTCTCTACTTACATATAAACAGTATAAAGTAAATGCTATAAACAAGCATCATTAAAAATGAAAGAATACTCTAGTGAGACCCTGCCTCAAAACAATAAGTAAAAGAATACTGTTATATGCTCTTTCTGTAAGAAAAACTGGTCTGGTCTGGACATTTGTTAGAAGATATTACAGGATAAAGTCCTTGCTGCAAAATAAATGAGAAAAAGTGTTTTTCTTTTTGCCCTTAGAAATGTAGCACTCTCTCATCAATAGTTGTATGGTTAATTTCATCTATATTATTAAAGCCTACATAACTCCTATCTAGTTCTCTGTATTCATTTTCTCATTTGTCTGATTGTGAAGTCATCTGCCAATTTTTCTCTTTGACATTATGGTGGAAAACTTCAGAATTCTCACCCTTCTCCAATGAATGCTTCAACAACTTAGGGGAAAAAAGCAAGCAAACAAAAACCTATAAAGACTGTCTCCTGATTTCTTTTATACTTTCATGAATGATATTGGTTTATTTTGGTGAATAAATAAACAAATTCTAAAGGACAGTAAGACAGTGATGACTTCTTATTACATCAACCATCTAGGCAATAGCATCATTCTACTTTTTTACTTCATGCATATGAAAATAATTGTGAAAACAACTCAGGGTAAAAAAGGAAATGTTTCAAGAAATAGGAAAAATTAGATCATTAAAGATTCCATAATGAATCAAACATTTATACACAAGTCCAATGGACCCATAGTTTTTATTCTACTAAAAAAAAAAATTATTTGGAGGCTGAAAAGATGGCTCAGTGGTTAAGAGCACTGGCTGCTCCTGCAGAGAACCTAGGTTTGGTTCCTAACACCCACATGGTGACTAACAACCATCTGCACTCCAGTTACAGGGCATCCAGTGCCCTCCTCTTGCCTCCACAGGCATTGCATACACATACACATACATATGTGCAGGCAAATATTCATACACATAAAATTAAAAATATCTTTTTTAAAAAACTTAGTTTTCTAAATACTCACATACCTTGAAGAAAAAATAAAAGTAATGCTGTCTGTAAATCTTTATAGTTAGAACTGCTCAAAAAATTTACTAGAAAACTAAAATTGATCCCAATCATTTGCCAAGTCAATATCTCAAACTCTTGCCCATTTTTATTTCATATTTAACCCATGTTTTATAAATTTAAACTGGGCTTTAAATTTTACTTTAGTTCCACTGCAAAAAAAATATATTCCTTTACTATGCCACAAATATCTTCTCTCCTTTCTACTATTTCTTATAATCTACTCAATTTGTTCTTTTGAAATACACCGGGGTTTTCTGACTGCTTGTTTTAATATTTTAACTTTTTTATTCTGGCCTACTACAGAGAAATGTCACTCAGATTTCTTTTCCTTAAGTTGCCTAGGTGAACCTTATCCTTTCCCTTCCATTACATCACCTTTCTTGCTGTCCTTTCCTTCACAAACATTTTATGTATCTGCTTTCCTATTTGTAATTAATTGGATCAATACTTTAAGCATAATCTACATATTTCTAATAATTTTCCCTTGTTTGATAATGAATGTTCCACTGTTTTGTAATATAATCTGATGTTGCTATAAATGAAAAGTGAATAAAATGCTTCCCTTTCCTCATTGGATTAGCTTTCTAGTTCTACTTCCCTAGTACCTGATAAAGTAGCACTGTCCAGTATGTTGTTAGGCCACACATTTATGATACAAGGGATTATCCTCATTGATAATCTGTCTCTGAGCTAAGAAAATTATATTATCTCATAAGAAGCAACAGTTACACATTTCCAGAGTACAGTGAATCTTTTAAGTACTTGTATCTTGCAAGTACCCTATGGGAAAATGAGGCTAATTTTAACCCAGGGGAGCATCTGCACTCAGACCTCATCTCCTTATACTTGAGTGAACTGCTTGCTGCATATACTACTACAAGGACGCTCTCAGAACACAGACACTTGACTTGGTCCTGCTGTGTTCAGGACACAGGGACCAGATGTAGCCTGTAAAGTACTGAGTCAGAATGTTTAGTACAACCTGTATGTAGTAGGAATTACCATTGCTATTGAGAAGTCTGCAACAATCTAATTACCCTTCTTTTGCAGATGACTTGTTTTCCTTAGCTTCATAATGATCTATGGTATACAGCTTATAAGTTTCCCCATCTTGTTTGGTATATGGTGAACGCTTTTAATCTCCAAAGACTCGCATTTCACTTCAGCTTGAGAAGATAGTCATACTGTTTTCTATATGCTATTCTCTTACCTCTTTTTGAAATTCCTATTAATTAAAAAATATTACTTTCTGAAATTACTCTTCTTTGCCACTTCTAGTTCATTATCTTTCATGTATTTTAAGCTTTTTCTCTTCAACATCATACTGAATGTTTAATTTCAGGAGTCAGAATCTTAATTTCTAGTAATTTTTTTATTCTCTCTGATCCTTTTCTATATCAATCTGTCCATCCTTCATGGATGAGAAAATATTCTTTATGTTTGGAGTTTTTCTTCTTCCTTGAAGACTGATGATCAGTTTGCATATTGCAGTCTTTCTCCTTCATACTATGAGCTTTCTAACAACTCTTGTCTACTATATATAAAAATGAGGGCTGGAGATAGTTCAGCGGTTAAGAGTGCTGGTTATTCTTGCAGAGGACACAGGCTCAATTCCCAGCACCCACATGGTGGCTAACAACCATCCGTAACTCCAGTTCTAGGGAATCCAACGCCCTCTTCTGACGTCTGTGGGTACTGCATAACACATGTGCACCTACTTACATGCAAGCAATACACTCATACACATAAAATAAAAATATTTTTAAAAATTAAAAAATGCAGCAGTGATCTAATGATTCACATTTTCTCCATTAACAATTAGTAGGTTTTCATTTTCCTTTAAGATTACTTCTGAAAGGCAAATATGATAACCACCACAATGGAAGAATGCATGAAACAATGCACAGCTTCTGAACTGGTTAAGGAGGTTTTATACTCCTATGAGCCCCACAGAGAACCATCCCCATAATGAAATAGTCTACCAGAGACTTCATCTATAAATAGAATGTGGCAACTTACCTGACACTGATAGTAAACATTTCCAGAATGTCTTTTCCTAGTAACCAGCCAACCAACATGATGATACCTGAAACAAAATTAAAAATACACTTTTCCCTTTGCTTTAAAATCACCTATAAAGGCTACAACAACAAGATAAGGGTTCCTAAAAGGTTCTTTGACATAAAAGTATATCTGATCACAGAGGTTTTACAAGAATCACTAAACACAGGGATTCAAGTTAGCAGGCATCTTGGTCACTGCCCTGTACAGGGTCAAGGAAAGGCATACAGTTTTACCTTTGGGTCTGCTGTTCCCACCCACTTCTCAAAATAGTCAATGACAATTCAAAAAACATTGTCACCGTTTTCATACAATGAAAAATGGGTGCACACCTATAAAACATAAAGGTCTTGGTCAGACATGGTGGGGTACACCCTCTAATCCTAACACAGAGGCAGGCAGATCTTTGTGAAATGGAGGCCAGCCTGGTCTACAACAGTGTGTTCTCATAGCAAGTTACAGGCCAACAGGGGCTAAAGGGGACCCTGTCTCAAACAAACAAATACCTTTAAAAAAAGGAAAAAAAACATAAATTTGATATTTGCTATCAACTTCGCAAAACAAAACACTGTAATTTAAAATTACATATACTATTCAGACATCACGCATAAAATATGCACTTCATACAAAGGTATACTTAGAACCTATTTCAGAGGCTGAGCTTTCTTCCTAAAATGCTCTTTAATTTACCAAGTTGACAAAAAACATCTGCAAATGGCAATGATCAAATGAAAGGTGCTATGAGATTACACACACCACTACCTTCAAACCCTGTGCTTGTGATGACAACTGATCACCACATAGACATAAGGATAAAAAGAATAAGTAAGGAATTATTTTGCTGAAATTACATAGCAAAAATATTGTTTTAAAAATAACTAGTTGAAAACACTAAGAACTAAAATAACTAAAATATAATGTTGAAAGAATTAAAAGAAAATTCTAATAATTCTAAATTAATACATATGTGTGATATATGATAAAGATGTTATTTCAACAAAGTGAACAAAGAAAAGATTATAAAGTTAATAGTACTGGAATAATTTTATGTAAAAACTTATGGTTCTAACTTAAGATATAGAGCACCTTAAAAAGAATTATTTTCTTTAAATTTATTTGTAACTAACATAAAAAAGCATATCAAGAGCATTTACACAATGCCATGAGACTTTCTGATACATGTATATATCATGTAGTACTGCTTCAAGCACAGTAAACACAACTTTCTCCTCAAATATTTATTATTTCATTATGGTGATTTAAAAATTATTCTTTGAGAATTTCATTTATGTATATAATGCGGCTTTATTTTATATTCTAATTCCTCCTGGACCCCCCCCCTTCCACATCCCTCCTTCATGTCTGTTTTTTTTTAATAACTAACTGAGTCCAATTAGTGCAGCCCATATGACCATGGGTACAGGGCCATTCTACCATGGGCAACCTACTAGGGGCCAACCACTGAAGAAAACTGACTCTCAATCCTCTAGAAGACATGATTGTCAATAGTTCATAGTTCCTCAGTTAGGGGTAGGGAGCCCTCCCCAATCCTTGCTGGAATTTTGACAGGCTTGATGGCTTGATCTTGTATAGGCAACCACAGCTGCTGTGAGTTCATAAATGCAGTGATCCTGTCACCTCCAGAGTACACTATTTCTCAGCAGTCCCCAACAACCTCTAATCCTTTCAATCTTTCTGCCCTCGCTTATAAGACATCTCCTAAACTTTAGGAGAGAATGTGATATAGATGTCTCATTTAGGGCTGAGCACTCCAATCACTTATTCTCTGAACTTTGACCAGTTGTCTTTTTTTAATAATATTTATTATTGTTATTTTATGTGTATGCGTGTATTGCCTGCATGTAGGTAAGTGCACCCGTGTCGTGCAATGCCTGCAGAGGACAGAAGAGGCTGTCAGATCCCCTGGAACTGGAGTTACAGACAGTTGTTAGCTGCCATGTGGGTGCTGGAATTCGAACCCGGGTCTTCTGCAAGAACAGCCATTTTTTTTAACCGCTGAGCCATCTCTCCAGCCCCAACCAGTTGTCTTTTTATTAACTGATATCCACTGCAAAAATTAGCTTCTCTGATGAGAAGTGGCAGCTGCACTAAGGTTGGGTTTAAGTATCTATAAGGCAGTTTGATACTACATCCGTCTAGCAAAATAGTAATAGCAGGTTCTCCCCTAAGGCAGACGTCCCCAGCTGTGAGTTCTCGGCCAAACATGAGTGCCCTCATGTGGAATGGATAATCTTTAAATAAAATAGTAAACTTAAGATAGGCACAGTGTCATCATAGCATACTCCTGCAATTCCAACTTTTGGGAGGAGGTACAGGAAAACAGAGTTCAAGGTCATCCTTGAGTATACAAGTTTGAAACCACCATGGTATATGTTTCCCTGATAATTTTAACTATCTTATCATTTTGTTGGGGGGGGTTGTTGTTGTTATTTTGTTGGCTGGTTCGTTGGTTGTTTTTTTTTTTTGAGACACAGTCTCCCTGTAGCCCCAGCTGGCTTGGAATTCACTATGTAGACCAAGCTGGCCTTCATACACAGAAATCGCCTGCTTTTCCTCCCAAGGAATGCTGGAATTAAAGGCATGCACCACCATACCTAGTGCAAAATTTAGACTATATAGGGGCTGAGGGTGTAGTTCAATGATACAGCACTTGACTAGTTACATGAGGCCCTGGATTCAATCACCAGCACCAAAAACAAAAACAAACAAAACAATTTAAATAAAAAGAACAAAATCTATAGAACTATGTTTAAGTAAACATCCTTATAAACATGAGGTGGGAAGATTTTTAAGGTGGTTAAAAAATTTTAATTATTTAAGCACCCGTTGTCTCAATAATTTTACCTCTAAAAATATATCTTAAAGAAATGAGAAATGATTATAATATGATAGTAATAATCTGTACTGAAGAATGATGTATATGAATAAGAACAATCAGAAAACCTTAAAAAAGATGACTGATTATAGATTCAGAAAATGGAATACTATACAGTCTTTAAATTTGCTTTAGGTGACCATCAATTTAATAGCAAGATATTTATGATAGAACATTTGAGAAAGAAAAGGGGAGAAGCAGGATGGATGAGGAGGGGAGGAGAAGGGATAGATGGGGAGGGGGAGGAGGGGACTAGGAGAGAGGGGGAAAGAGAGGAGAGGAAGGAGAGGGGAGGGAAAGGAGAAATGGAAGGAGGGAAAAGCAAAGCAAATTGATGCATAGCCATCGACACTATCATAGCTAGAAAGACAAAATGTTTAGAGAAATGCTCTCTAGCTACACATAGGAATTACAGTTTTTGTTGTTGTTGTTTTATTATTTTTTTCACCTTTGTATCCAAGCTTAGTACTATAATTAAAAAAAAAACATGAGAAAATCATTCCATTCATATTCAAAACAAAAAACCCAAATGATTTAGCAAGTTAGGATTTCCAGCAAAGTCTGAGGACCTGAGTTCAATCCCCAGAACCCACATGGAAGGAGAGAAATGACTCCCTCAAGTAGTCCTCTGACCTTTAAATGTGTATGTACCTATGTGTGCTCATGTGTATACACACACACGCACACACACACACACACACACACACACAAATTCATTTTTAAAATATAAAAGAAAAGAAAATCCAAGTAAAAGATACATACTGTTCTCTTACCTATTATACCAAAGGAGTAAAAGGACAGTTGCTTTCCTAAGAGGTCCATGCTCTTCTGCAAAGGAGTTTTTGGTGCCTTGACAAATTGGAAAAGTGTTATCACCACAATTAGTTACATTTAATGTACTTTTCCAGGTGCCAGGGACCCTGCTAAGGGCTTAACATGCACATTCCTAAGTTAACCCCACTTCCACCTTCACTGAGGAAACTGAGGCCTCCACTTTAAACTCTGCTGAGGGTCATGCAGGAAGCAATCCCTTCCCACTATGCTTTCCATTGAGTTAATCTTTCCTGCCAGGTTCTCTAGGGCTCCAGGACCATCAGCTATTTCTGCTATTTTCCAATTGTTCCCTTCTGTATCCACATACATATTAGCAACCTAATTTTTTTTTTAATTCTGTGGCTCCCAGATCTGCTAAACTTCTTTAGCTATCCCTTCATTGCCAAGCTTCTTCAAGAACTTCCACGTTGCATTACACACTGCAATCTTAGCAGGTTACCTAAAAAATCCTGATAATTTTGGAAGAACATTTATATGTACACACACACCCAGAATTATGTTAGAAATATGGATAGAACACATTCTGAGGTATAAATATATTAATTAGTAATCCTATGGGTTGAGGGCACAGTTCAGTGAGAGAATATGTGCTCAGAATATGCTAAGCCTTAGGTCAAATACCCACCCCCAAAATAATAAGATGACAGAACCATTTTCTATAAAGAATAAAACATGCAGAAATTGGCTATAAACCTCTTTCTACTATAAACAATGAATAAAGATAAAAATCTTTTAGAATACTGTCAATATAAATTCAAGTCCTCCCAATTTTAGGACTTCTAATTACGTTTATAAGGAAAGATAATGAGCAATATTTTGAAGAAAATACAGGTTTTAATAGTGCATACAAGAATCTACAGCTATTTGTTTTTCTACTACTTAGGATAGAGAACTATAGATCTGACAACCAGTAACATAGTAAGTACTCACTTCTTCTGCTTGCATCATCTTAAAAACTTCCCCAAATTCAGAATTTTCTCCTGTTCCAATGACAATACCCTAAGGGGAAAATCAAGGAAGTTCATTTTATTCAAATGGAATCCCTTCTTCCAACTAAAAGGGAGGGGGGGCATAAAGACTTTTCATTTCCTTTCTTCAAAGCCTTACAACCACAGGCTTAGAATATATATCCAAGATTCCCTTACCAAATATACTTTTTATGCTACTCTCATGAATGTCTTCCCCTTACAATACAAACCTTGGGGGGAAATTGACCCAGTACGGAGGCCCATTTTTTGAAACACTAATGTTTTATACTCAATAGCTATATGTAACAGTTTCTTGTTCCTCCTCCTATGCTACTGAATGATGCCTATGACATTGGTGAAATATTAGAAACCAGGAAACAAGAGTTCAAATAAATCAGTATGTGAGAAATACGTAGTTAGAACATTATTGCCAGTACTATATAAACAAAATTAATCTTAACTAATCTTGGTAATCTAATGTAATCTTAGTAAAGAACACACTTATGAACCACTGCTTCCACTTTTAAAAAGGACACCAGGCTGGGGAGAAAGTTCAGTGCTTGATGAAGGGTATGCAAGCATGAGGACTGGGGTTTGAATTCCCAGAACCCACTTGAAAGGTGAGTAGGCATGGCAGTCACCTGTAATCCCAGCCATCAGGGGGCAAAGGCATGAGATCCCAGAACAAGCTGGCTAGCTAGACCTGCTACAGTTGGTGAGCTAATGGGGTTCAGTTAGAAACCCTGCCTCAATAAAGTAGAGAGCAATCAAGAAGACAAACACACACGTGCACACACACCTGCAAGCACACAAACACACACAAAAGGGACCAACACTGAAGACTAGCCTGTATCAAAGTAAGTACTATAAATTAATGATATCTCATTTATTTTCATTTGCAGGGCATAATTCTCTCCAATATAAAAAACACTGCCTGTACTTAAGTTCAACCTTTCTATCATACATTTTGGGGGGAAAATACACATAAAATTAGTGGGGGGCGGGAAGGGAGATGGTCCTGTGAGGTGACTCAGCAAGTGAAGGTACTTGTTGCATTTGAGCTCCTGAACCAACAAAAAAGGTGACAGATACAACTTCCCAAAGTTGTCCTCTGACCTCCATACACATGCCATGCACTCATATTCCATATACATGTGTAGGTACACACATGCACACAGAAAATTTTTTTTTTTACTTGTGATAGATAAAATGGATTTTTTAAAGAAATAAACTGCTGTTTTCAAAAGAAAACATTTAATCACCTTTGCTTTGCCACACCTGACCAGTGTTCCCATGAAGGCAATGTTACTTCTTGATGCAAGATCTCCATTAGTGGTGGCTGGTTGAGGGGCTGTCACCTTAGAACAAGGAGTTGTCTCTCCTGTCAGGCTAGACTCATCAATGGAAAGATCCACAGCCTTGGGAAACAAAGCATTCCACATTTAAATGTGTAGAATAGTCAACATCTGAAGAGTTAATGACATCACTTCTAGTATTCCCACTCCAGTGATTAGCTCATCTTGTGTTACAGGCATTACTTTAAGACAGAAGACCAAATCAGTACCATCATGTATGTTACACCAAGTCAACAAAAACTGGAGACATGCAAAGACTGCTTACCCTCAAAACAGGATAGCCTTAAATTCAAAATGGAACTAAGGTAATGGACACCCCAGCTGAGAGTATACCTAAGAAAACCCAACTCCTGTCTTACTACGTAGCCCTGGCTGGCCTGGAACTCACTATGTAGACCAGACTGACCTCGAACTCTCCTAACAAAATATTACATCCTACTTTTACTCTGTCTCCAAAGTTCTAGAAATGTATGAGGCTGGAGAGATGGCTCAAAGACTAAGAGCACTGGCTGCTCTTTCAGAGGACCCAGGTTCAAGTCCCAAAACCCACATAGCAGCTAATCATCATTTGTAACTCCAGTTCCAGGGGATCAGACCTCTGTAGTCATTGTATGAGGCAGGTGCACTCACATACATGCAGGGAATACACTCACACACATTAAAATAAAGATAATAAATACTTTAAAGTTCTAGAAATGTATCTAGCAGATTCAAACCAATCATGTATAAAGGGATTTTTTTTTTGGGGGGGGGGGCTCAATTTTCACAAATTTCGCTATATTTACTCCAAATTAAAGTTTAAAAAAAATCGAAAATATAAAAAAATGCTGACAAGAATTAAAAATGTGTATAAATGTTTCTGTGCACATTTTTATGACTACCTCTGACTATAACAGGACTCAACTCTGAGGGTTCAGGCTTAGTAAAGTATTAGCCTGACTAAGTACACAAAGTATCATTTTATGTTTGGAAAATGCTATAGGTGTATGGCGTGGATCTGTTTCTGAAAGCACAGGCCAAAGAATATCTCCTATGGATACTTATAGGCACTATGTACACAACAGACAATGCATACATACATACATACATATTAAGGAGGATACAGTGCCCAAGCAAGCTTTGGAAATGATGCATTAAGAGTGAAACAGCATGCCCTACTGCATCTCAAGAGGTACACAGTTACAGCAGAAGTTCTCAAGGTACAGGACCAGCAAGAGCAACTAACAGTATCACCTCTACGACCCCAGAGCTTATTAGAAATGCAAGCCTCTGCCCAATCTAAAACGGAAAGTAAACCCAACAGATTATTTACAAGTGCTCCAGGGATTCTGGTGCACATTCAAATTTGAGAATCAATGCAAGGAATACCATTGATGCAAAATTTCTTTGATACATTTTATTCCAGAATGTTAGAATACTTTTGGAGAAGCTAGGAGCTAGAGTTCATTATTTTAATAATTTTGTATGCTCAGTCATCTAACAGACTAATTTATTATCCTAACTATGTGCTAGGTGCTAGGCCAAATCCTGGAAAGGAAATAAAGAAATGAACCTTGAGCAGTTAAATTGCTGAGCAGTCTCACTGCCATTATAACTTGAACTGGATTTTTAGTTTTAACTTATAAAGAGGCATGGAGATAAACAGTCTCAGCACTGCAGAGCCAAGACACAAGGCTAATAAATTATATCTTCTTACTTTATTTGGTTTACTTTTGCAGTGCTAGGGATTGAAACAAGGACTTCATAGATACTAGGCAAGTACTGTACATTTCCAGCCCAATAATATCTTCTAAAACAGTTTCTTTTGGGGCTGGAGAAATGGTTTAGCACTTAAGAACACTTACTGCTATTCCAGATGATACAGGTTCAGGTCTCAGAACCCACATAGTGGCTAACAACTGTCCCTAACTTCAATTCCAGAAGTCCTTACATCCTCTTCTAGCCTCTATGGGTATTACAAGCATGGGAACACTAACATGCAGGTAAAACACTCATACAAAAAAGACTGAAATAAATAAAAAAGTTAGGTTTGCTTCTTTATGAACATCAACCTGATCTCAAAAGGAATCAGTGTGTAGGAAGGATGGGGGGGTGGCGGCGATGCTTTCTCAGGTGCTTCTTCCTCTCCATCTCTGCAATTTAATTTAATTTAATCCATGCCATTCATTTATTCACTTAACAAATTTCATCAAAGGACATGAAGTGCCAGACTGTGGGAGATGATAATTAGCAATGAACAAAGTTCCTGACCTCAGCTATTATCCTAATAGGAAAGCACTTCGAAAAAATAACTGGATACGCCATTCCAGGTAGGAAAAGAAACAAACATAGTAAAAACAAAACAACATCTTAGGAGAAAAAGAATATTAGAATAACCTTCTGCTGAGCCCTGAAAGACTCAAGGGCTTTGTGTCTAGGCCATCATCAAGGAGAAAGAATTCCAGAGTAAGGGAACAAAAAGCACAGTCAGTGGAGACGGAAACCTGTGCTTGTGTATGAGGGAAACACGCAACGTTGTAAGCACAAATAAGGGTTGCCAAGAATAAATCATTAGGTTTTAAATTACTCAAGTGTGCAACTACAAAAAGACAAAACTGTGTCAGCATTTCCCAAAAGTTTAGGTATAATGACAATGCTAATCATTTTAGCATCAGATGGGGCCTAGAAAGAAATTGTTCCTTAAAACACAGAACCAGAGTAACTTGGTTTTTAAAATTATACACAGACACCTGTCAACTTAAGTTCAATGCATCACGTCAAACTATTACTAAAGGCTATAAATTACCGACCATGTTCAAAAGCAACAAAATTTTTCCTTATAAAAGGAACATGTGCCTCTGCTTCCCTGGGACTGCACGACCCGGAGGCCTCTCTCCAGGATAAGTAGAACTCCCCCCCAACCCACAGGCCATAAGCATACCTTGACTCTCCCATCCTCATTCACCCCTCCTGGAGAACCACCACTGCTTCCTGATACTTTGCATCCAGACCAACCCAGTTCCTTCTGGGGTCCCCAGACTTGATGGCGCCTTCACCTCCCTCTGCTTCCCTGGGCTGCACAACCAACTAGCCTCTTAACTGGACGCCATGGCTGATCTTTCTGCTTCCTGATCCTTTCATTCAGACCAACCCAGTTCCTCAGTGCAGTCTCCAAAAGCCCTTGGGACCTCTTCCCACCCCCATCTCCCTTTCCATCTCTGGGTGGCAAGGCCACCAGTTGTCTTAGACCACCATCTTTCATGGGCCCTGCTCCCAGGCCAATCCAAACCCAAAATTCCTGAGGCCAAAATCTTTCCTGGAGGGATCCAGACCTTAGGAGAAAGCCTAAGAACATCTGATCCTCATCTGACTTGGGCCTCTGCAGAAACTCCTGAAGACAAAAGCAATCTGGTCACTTGAATAAATATAAAATCAAAAGAGAGAAACAGAAGCTTGGACGAACCATCTTTTAATGACCAAAAAGTAAACCACAAAGACACATAAAGTTTACAAAAAGAAGCAGACAGAAACTTTAAGGCTTCAGTCTCAAACAAGAATCAGAAACTACAAAAGAAATCCACATGTCAAAATCACAGAGAAAAAACAATAACATGAAAAACCAAAATAAGATATCCCCACCAAATACCAATAGTCCTCTAGAGGAGTACAATGAGAATCCCCTAGAGATAATGCAGGACATGAAACTCAAAAGAACAATTATAAACATGATAAAAAAAATTCAGTGAATTGAAAGAACACATAAAGAAATCAGAGAACTCAAGGAAGATATGGATAAACTTCTGAATGAATTCAGAAAAAAGCTAGAAATACTGAAGACCACTCAGGATGAAATGAAGAAGGAAGTGAAACACTCAGTAAGCAAATTAGAAACAACAGGAGAAAGCCTCACCAACAGGATTTATGAAATAGGAAACAGAGTATCAAGACTGGAAGATAAAGTGGACAAACTAGACCACTCAAGCAAAGATTATGAAAAATTTAGGAAACAACAAGAACGGAATATGCAGGAATTGTGTGACACCATAAAAGACCAAACTTACGAATCATAGGCATACAGGAAGGAGAAGAATCCCAAGACAATGGCATGGACCAGATCTTCAACAGAATCGTGGAAGAAAATTTCCCAAAATTAAAGTAAGACATGCCCATACAAATACAAGAAGCATACAGAACACCAAACAGACAGGACCAGAAAAGAAACTCTCCACGGCACATCATAGTAAAAACAATAAACATACAAAACAAAGACACAATACTAAAAGCTGCAAAAGAGACACAAAAAGTCAGGTATAAAGGAAAACCCATTAGGATTACAGCTCACCTTTCAGTGCAAACTATGAAAGCCAGAAGAGCCTGGACGGAACTATTCCCAGTTTTAAATGACCACAGATGCCAACTCAGATTTCTATTAGGCAGCCAAAATGTCTACTATAAATCGAAGGGGAAAGAAAAAACTTCCATGACATAAATAGGCTGAAGGAATTCATGTCCACAAAACCAGCCCTTCAGAGAGTTCTGGAAGCAATACAAAGAGCTGAAGAAAGGAATGACTATACCTAAGGGATTATGGAATGAAATACAGTGAAGGTATAACTGTGGAAAAGTACAGCTATATCAACGATGTACACAGAAATTAAAATGACAGGATTCAATACTGAGCTTTCATTAATAACTTTAAATATTAACGGACTCAACTCCCCAGTCAAAAGGCACAGACTAGGTGAATAGATTAAGAAACAAAACTGATCTTTTTGTTGTCTGAAAGAAATTCATCTCACTTTCAAGGACAGACACTATCTTAAAGTGAAAGGATGGAAAAAAATATACCAAGCAAATAGTACTAAGAAAAAAGTAGGCATTGCAATTCTAATATCTGACAAAACAGACTTTAAACTAAATCAGAAGAGATAAAGAGGGTCACTTCATTCTGATCAAAGGAACAATAAGTCAAGAATATATTACAATCATGAACATATATTCACCAAACTTTTGGTGCACCCAACTTCATGAAAACAATACTATAGGACTTTAAGACTCAGATTAATCACAACTCATTAATAGTC